TGTTGCCCCACACTCCGTGTGACATGAGGGGAAAGAGGTCTGGACCTGGGTGGGATTCTCTTACCTAGAAAGTAGATGAGTTCTGACAGACCCTTGTATGAAGGCCCATGAAGAGTATCTCCTCCTTTCCCTCCTCCCCATCTTCATCAATTTGCATATGGGGAAACTGAGGCAGCAGGGAGATAGCTTGCCTAGGAACATACCAGGACCAGAGAGAAGCAAAACCCAAGCCCCCATTACTTCTAATCCAGGGCTGTCTCCACTTCACCTACAAACGTGCATTGTAAAAGTGTAAGGTCCTCATTTTGTAATGCCATCTATCAACTTTGGTGGTTCCAAATGGAGTAGACCCCTGCCTGAGGCATGGAAACTGCTTTCATATTTTCTTGATTCCTCAAGATGATAACCAACAACGTTCTTCATCCCTCACTCACTTCATACATCTCAAAACACATTTCTATCCATACACTGAATGAGCAGGTGCTCAAATACCTACTGAGAGGGAATTAAGGCAAAACCCCCATCTTACTGATGGGGAACATGAGGCCCAGAGTGGAGCCGTGACTTCACTGAGACACACAGCTAGACACAGCCAAATAGGGGCAGGTCTCTTGATTCCAATTCCTGTGTGTTCTCCATTAACTATAGGACTACCAAATGGTACCCCTCAATGGAAAGGGACTACAGGGCTGATCAGAGTATGAGAAACAAGGAAGGCTTCTGAAGGAGGAAAGTGTGTCAAGAATCAAGAAGAGTAAGAAGAACCTGTTGGCTTCTTCAGAAGATAGAGAACTAAGGCAGCGGGCGTGGGGCAACACTTGGTAATCTGGAGGTGGGGGTAGAAAAACAGAAAAGAAAACCAGGTGACCCGACTGCCCCATAATTGTCTCTTATGTTTCTATAATACTTGGCAATTTCTAAAACACCTTCCTCTGTTGTCTCCTCCAGTTCCCATGTGAGGTAAACAGGGCAGGGATAATTATCCCCATCTCATACATGAGTTTCAGAGGAAATAAATGCAGTGCTCAAGGTCACATACCCAAGCATACAGCCAAGATTGGAACCATGAAACGCACACATGAAAGGCAAAATCACAGGCTGGGTGACTGGAAATTGGACTGTGTGTGTGCAGTGGTTGGGTGTGTGTGGCCACACCCTGAGTAGGTACACAGGGAAGAGGGTGGCAAAGCCACTGCTAGTGTTTTGGGGCCAAGAATGTTTGCCCTTTGGATTGAATGGGATTCAGGTGCAGGGAACATCTGGGCTTTCAAAGAAGTCTTAGAATTCCTTCTCCTCTGAGTCACTTCCCCACCTGACTGAGACACCTTCTTTTCTTTGAGCCACCCCTTCCCCAGACCAAATCAAATATGTTTTGGCCTGCTCTTGCTTTTTAAGTACTGTAAGCTGTTTTCGTGAATGTCTATGTGTGTACTGGGTAGGGGATGGTCTAATAAGAAATGGCATTGATTCATTTTTTTTAATCAATTTTTAAAATGTTTAGTTATTTGTTTTGAGAGATAAAGGGAGAGAGAACACAAGCAGGGGAGGGACAGAGAGAAAGGGAAAGAGAAAATCCCAAGCAGGCTCCACACTGTCAGTGCAGAGCCTGATGCAGGGCTCGAACCCACAAACCATGAGATCATGACCTGAGCCGAAATCAAGAGTCAGATGCTTAACCAACTGAGCCACCCAGGTGCCCCTGATTCATTTATTCTTGAGTGCCTACTATGTGCTTGGGCCCAGGGCATAAAGAAGTATGTGAGGCACAGGTCCCTGCCCTCACACCTCACAGCACATAGTTTAGCATACATATCTACATATATTGATACCTATACACACATACACTTTCAGTACAGCATAGTGCTCTAATAGGGTTTTATGCAAAGCACTTTAGGAACAGACAAGAGGGAAAGACTAATTGGCTAGGGAGTGGGGAAGGGGGTCTCTCAGGAGGGGGTCTATAGAGGTGACATTAGAGCTGGGCCTTTAAGGATGAGTAGGAGTTCACCAGGAAGATAAAAAGAGGAAGGAAACTCCTCTGCCTAAGAAAACAGCATAAGGAAAGGAAAGAGGTGTGCAAATGTGAGGAATGTTGGGAGAATGGTCTGTAACTCAGTACCAGTTGGCACAGGGAACTGGGGAGAGGCAGGGTCATATCCAAAGAAGCTTCAATGACAATCTGAGAAGGTTAGACTTTCCTACAGGCAACGGGGAACTGATACTAGAAAGGTCCGTGATGCGATACCAATTTGTGATCCCAGTTCATGGGGCTGTGAGGCCTTGTGCAAGTGGTTTCCTCAGGGAAGGCGTGCTCTGTTTTCCTGTTTGGATGGGGATTGTACTAACAACATAATTATTAAGATCCCTTTCAGCTCAGATTCTATCTCTGTCTCCTTCCAACTTTTTGTTAAGGTCCATACCTTGAACTCCTCCTCCCACTCCACTGGCTCCCCAGTCCATGTGGTGATAAGATTACAGAGGGACCAATGGCAAAATTGTGTGGTCCCAGGGATTGCCTTTGGATCTCCATCTGCTTTGTGTGACTTTTTCCCCCTCACCTCTCTTTACCACATTTCTAAACACTTAAGATGTTCACTCTGAAAGAGTAGCTAAAACAGAGCAGTGGGAAAAACCAAAAGAACCAATGGCGGAGTTTCATTTTTCCCCAGAGAAACCTGAAAGAAAACCTAAGATGCCCAGTTCATCCTTCAGATAACAGCTTTACAGCTCCACCCCCAGGTTAGACACCTTTGAGTTCTAACTCACAGGGATGGGGAGTTGGGGGGATGAGGTACCTGGCTGGCTCAGTTGGAGCATGTGACTCGAGTTCAAGCCCCATTTTGGGCATAGAGCTTACTTAAAAAACAAAAAACAAAACAAAACAAAACAAAAACATTTAGGAAGAATCTGTTAAGGTGCAGGAAATAGAAATAGCAATAGAGTGTGGAAGAAGAGAGTGAGCCTGGCGTTTTGGGGGATCAGGAGTGGGTCTAGAGCAGAAAGGACCATAGGAGATGAGATTATAAAAGAAGGTTAACTCCTCGTCCAAAACATGCCAACATCCCCCCCCCCCCCCCCATCCCTACTAGATCCTCGATTGGTGAGAATCTGCAGTACAGGAAAAAGTATGGAGTTAGAGGATACGATGCTACAGGACACGAGAAGACTGTGTTCCATATGATGCACAACTCAGATGCCAGGGAATGTTGCCATTGGTAGTGGAAAGAGCACCTTAACAGCACATGCCCCCAAAGACCTCGGTCCTCATCAGAGCTCTGCCTGTCACTAGTCGTGTCATTTTGGGCAAGTCACCCTCCCTCTCAGAGCTTCCATTTCCCCATCTACAAAATGGAGTCGTTGGCCTAGAATCTAGATTCTAAGTAATCTTTACAATCTCTTTCAGCATGGTCAGTTCCTATTAACTGGTCTATCTTCTGTTTCAAGTTAAGAACTCTCCGGAGCAGAGCTCTATCTGCCCCATTATGAACTTTATAATCAGTGACTATCTTGACAAAGGAAGCCAAGGAGCTCAGAAAGAGGAACAAAATTCTCATTGTTGCCAACTACCAATCCTTGGACCTAGAGGCAGTTCACAGAGAACCAACCCATTCTTTATCAGCTTTCTGTCTCTCCTGACCCAGCAATGCCCTTGCACCCAGGCCCTCATTCCTATCCCAACCCAGTACCTAAAGATAATGTAAGAGTGACTTCTTTGCTTCCCCTGTCAGCACCACAAACTTCCAGGTCTATCCAGAGGCCCCAGAAGGAGGATCTGAGGGATCAATGATTTCATGAACTTTTACTGCCCTCACTGAACCCTGCATTGGAGCCCACCCCATCCCCCACACTGTCCGTCCACCCTCATTTTCTGCACAGAGTCTCCCTCCTTCCCTGGCTAGATCACCTGGACAGATGAACTGTTAAGAAAAAAAGCCAAAGTCAACTGATTTGACTCTCAGTTTATCTAGGCAGGAATATTCAGTGTAACTTAGTCCTTGTCTCAGGTACATCTTTAATCTGTGAGAAAAAAGTCTGCAGCCTTCCTTATCTTGTGATTCAGGGGCTCTAAAAAGACCCCAAAATACCTCTCCCACCAACCTGTCCAATCTCCCATAATCTCACAGTGTGGTTTTGTGATTTGTACCTTTGTGGGATGTTAGAGCTTACTGCAACCTTGCCAGATTACATAGTTAAAGTGCCTTCATTTTATAGATGCAGACAGAAGCTGAGGCCCAGAAAAGGGAAGTCACATGCCCAAAGTCACACAAGTAACAACTGAACCAAGACAGCTCCTTGGGTTTCCATTTCCTTAACTGTAAAATGAGGGAGGTTAACTAAAGGTTAGACTAAATGGCCTCTGAAGGTCCCGCCAGCCTCTGCTCTGCAAAAATAAAACCGTCACCACCCCTGTGCGGCACCTGGTACCAGACGCTGCAATTTTCTTCTTTAATTTTCACAATGAGTTTTGCTACAGATAGTGCTGATGCTGTGACCATGTATTACCCAGTCTCTCCAAATAGGTTCATTGGAAACATCATTTGTGTCTATGTAAAATATCAACCCACTGCCAGCTGCCACCCTGCCACACACATCATTCCCTTGGGGCTCAGGCTCTTTGAACCTTTTAGAGACTTCTGTTAAGATACCTGTACCCTTAGGAAAGGGAATATTTTAGTCTGCACTATTGGCAGCTCCCTGAGCAGGAGTCCACCTGTTAAACTGAGGTTTTATCACAAAGTCACCCAGTAGAGACATCGCGGGCCTGGGGTTGGGGGACAGCAATCAGATGTCCCTTAGCCACTGCACAGTTCCTGTAACTGCAACCCTAGGCTGGTCTGACCCAGCTGCTGCATAAAGGGGAGGGGAAGTGGGGGGGGGTGGTGCACAGCAAAGCTATTGCACAACCCTTGGGGCCCCAGCCTTAGGAGATCCACCCTGGTTCTGAAGATTTTTCTGTGTGTCTGATTTCTTCCTTCCCTGCCTCCTCCCCTGTTTTCCAGCACTGGGCCTTTCCTTCTCAGCTCTCAGTGTCAACACTGGGACCCCAGATGTGTCCAGAGACACCCTGAAGAAGCTGAGGGGCAGGGGAGCCTTAGGGCACCCACAGGGAGATTTCTGAAGCTGATTCAGAGCCAGAGAATTTGCCTACTATTTGGTGAGTCTTCCAGATATAGGTTCCCCTTCCTCTGCCCTGTCAGTTAAAACTACTTTGCAAAGGATTTCTAAGAAAACTGGTAACAGTGACTGCTCCGGGAAAGAGTCCTGGACCACTGGGAATAGGGAGACTTCGTCTTCACTGTATGTACTGTGTATACATACTTACTAGATTGAAACATTTTTTTCACCATAATAAAAGTGTATGCTCAAGCAAGCCTGGAGGGAGGCAGGACAGGGATAATAGTCTTTTGTTGTTGTTTTTAATCATGGTTTAAAAAATACATGAAATTTACCATTTTAACTATTTTTAAGTATACAGCTCAGTATCATTAACTGTATTCACATCGTTGTGCAACAGGTCTCTAGAACTTTTTCATCTTGCAAAATTGAAACTCAACCCATTGAATAACTCCCGATGATAATCATTTTGACAGATGAGAAAACTAGAGCCAGAACATGGCAAGAAGCCCATTTCTTTCCAAGTGGGATCCTCGCGCCTGTGTGGCTCAGTCGGTTAAGTGTCCAACTTCAGCTCAGGTCACGATCTCGTGGTCCGTGAGTTCGAGCCCTGCGTCGGGCTCTGGGCTGACAGCTCGGAGCCTGGAGGCTGCTTCCGATTCTGTGTCTCCCTCTCTCTCTGCCCCTCCCCCATTCATGCTTTGTCTCTCTCTGTCTCAAAAATAAATAAACGTTAAAAAAAAATTCAAAGTGGGATTCTCCAGGCACTCCATCTATCTGTTATCTGCCTGTAAAACTGTCCAAGGCCCCTTCTTCCCTAAGCCATTCCCCACATACCTCTCACAAATCACATCTGTGAGATCTTAACTCCTGCCCCCACCTTGTCATCCCCATGGTCCCAGCTCAGGACTCAGTGTCTTCTGCCTGAACTATTTCAGGACCCTTGTCATTAGGCTCCCTGCCTCAATTCTTGCCTCCTCCAGTCCATATGGCAGCCCGACTGTCCTTTCAAAGCATAGATCTCACCACTGTATTCCCTTTTAAAATACTGTTCCATGGCTCTTCCCCAACTACAGGATAAAGTTCCAGCTCTGCAGCCTGGCACTCAAGGCTCTCCATGATCTACTTCAGAGAAGTCTCTCTCTATCCCATGGTCTACATTGTTTTTTGTTTTTTTTTTTTTAATTTAAATTTTAATGTTTGTTTTTGAGAGAAAGAGACAGAAAACGAGCAGGGGAGGGGCAGAGAGAGAGGGAGACACAGAATCCAAAGCAGGCTCCAGGCTCTGAGCTGTCAGCACAGAGCTCAACGCGGGGCTTGAGCTCATAAACCATGAGACTGTGACCTGAGCTGAAGTCAGCTGCTTAACCGACCGAGCCACCCAGGTGCCCCTTTTCTAAACATCCTTGTTGTCATGCTTGTTTACCTCTTTGCTTTTCTTGCCTTCTCTACTTCCTAAAAGCCCTTCAAGGTCCAATTCAAATGCCTCCGTCACTGAATACCCTCTGAGTCTTGATCAGAATTTGTCCCTTCTTTCTCTAAGCCCCAGTAGCCCTTGGCTTGTTGCCTTCATAATACATCAGCAGGCAATGTCCCTAAGTTCAGGGACTGGGTTTGAGCCTCCCCAAGCTCCCAGCATGAGGCCTGCCTAACAGTGGGCCTCCATACATGATGACTGGCTGAATGATGAGTTGAGCCATTAATTTCATTGTGCTGCTCCTGCTTTCCATTGGTCCATACAAGGGAAGAAGAAGGCACAAATTTCTTACCTGACAATTGAGGTAGTAGATGAGAATCTCTGCCTTCTGGATCTTAACTCCACGAGCCCTTGTTCTCTTTCCCTCCTCCGTCCAGACAAGGTAGTTCAAGTACTACTTACCAGGGAGCCCCAAAGGCCTTGCACGAAATGTAGGCCAGTCCTGGGTGATTGCTGTATTATTTAAATTCTTCCCCCTAACTTCTTCATTCATAGAGTTGTTCATGAATATTGATCATGGTCATAACAGTCATCTTTTGTTTGGAAGAGACCATATGTAGTATTCAAGTTAGTTTCAGTTAGGTTGACAGATCTACCTAGATAAAGGAGGGCTTTGGAACCAGTTAGTGAACTCTGAGTGATTGGCCTGTGGAAAAGTCCCTAAAATAGCCATTTTTACTGGAGACTATTGAAGGAAGAACAGCCAGCCAGTTACTAGGTAGACCCCTGGGGAAACACAACACCCAGCCAGTCTCAGGGTAATCCCCTAGACTTGAGGGAGAGATACAGTCCTGCTGACCAGGAGCATGTGGTCTGCTAATACCCTTATCAATAACAAGAGAATAGCCACACAGTGCCTTACATGTAAGTGCTGGTCAAAAGGGAGGGTTGCAACAATAAAGCTTGTGGAATATGGTTAAAGGATAGAGAGGACTCAATGAAGTCTTCCTGAAAGAAGTGAGTGTGGATGGAGCCTTGCTTAAAGAGAATGACATGATTTTTCAGAGATTAGGATACAAGGTTGTCTTTGGATGTTTTTCTATATTATGGACTGAGGATCTCTAGGAAGAAGGGGAAGGGACATTTATTATACACCAGGTACACAGTGACTTTGTGTCAGAAGGCAGGAGAGTTGAGGTGCCTGTCTCTTCCCTCTCTGGGGTAGGAAAACTCCAAACCAGACTGAGTGTTCCTTTCACACCCCTACCCTCAGGTTCAACCCTGTCCTTTTCCCTGGTGTCCGCAGTGGTTATCAGCCTCTCCCTGTTTCCCCCACCGCCTCTTTTCCAACAGAATTTCCCCTAAATAGCTAGCAATACCTAGAGCATTTGGGACATAATGTGCTTAAAAGATCAAATGACCCAGACTCTGGCCTCCAGGTAGGGTGAAATTTAAGCCATCCCCAAACTTCTTGTAAATGCTGTCCATGGAATATAAAAAAAACTGTGCTGAAGGAGGGCTCTGGGTAATGTCTTCTGATGGTGCCACACAGTCCTGCCGAGAGCTGGCCCAGGAGCCAAAGGAGCTGTAAGCCGGCCATCACAGAGAGGGACTCTGTCTTGGCTCTACTTCCAATATTCTCTGTGATCATGGACAGGCCACTTAATTCTCCCTGGGCCTCAGCTTCCCTTTGTATAAAAATGGAAGGAATTAGAGTAAATAATCCCTAAAGCCCTTGTAGCCTAAAGCTCGGTGATTTATAGAATCAAAAAAAAAAAAAAAAAAAAAAAGAAAGATTAATATGGGTTACAATGGTTGAGGAAGGCTTTATTCCACAAGTATTTATTGAGGACCTACTGGGTGCTGTCTTAAGTGCTTGCATATAGCAGTTAGTAAAACAGACATAGTCCCTGCCTTCATTGACCTGGCAGTCTAGTGGAGAAGACAGACAAGTAAACAAATAGGTAGAATAAACTGTGATGTTGGGATTTTCGCTGGGGTTTGAGGGAGTCGGGATGGAATTCAAGCTGCAGATGACAGAAGCTATCCCCTTTCTCTTTTCTGTCACCAACAGAGCGTCCTCCAGTTCTTTGCCCACTGCAATCCCTATTGCTATGGAGACCACCAATGGGACTGAGACTTGGTACAAAAGCCTGCACGCTGTGCTGAAGGCTCTAAATGCCACTATTCACAGCAACCTGCTCTGCCGGCCAGGGCCAGACAACCTGACAGAGAAGCGGCAGGCCAGCCTACCTGGCCGTGATGACAACTCCTACATGTACATTCTCTTTGTCATGTTTCTATTTGCTGTCACTGTGGGCAGCCTCATCCTGGGATATACCCGCTCCCGCAAAGTGGACAAGCGCAGTGACCCTTATCACGTGTACATCAAGAACCGTGTGTCTATGATCTGATGCTAGGGGGCCAGGAATGGCAGAATATCAAGACACCAGAACTCAGTGCTGGACCACATCAGGCCTCAGTGTCCCCATCTATAAGATCAACAAGAGAAAGGGCTAGAAGAAGTCATCATTAGGGTGGGAGGAGAGGGGCTGGGAGACCTGGGCCTTGCGGATAAAGATTTTTTTTTTCCAGCAAAAGCAGACTTTTGGGAGCCCCATGAACAAATATATAGAAGTAGCAAAAGATAGTAACCACTACTGGTCCAGTGGCTGGAGTACTGGGAGCTAGGAGCTGGAGGCTGGAGGAAGGAGAAAAGGAAGTTGTAGCAGAAGCAAATGAAACGGGAGGATGCACGGAGGACATGTTTTTTGATGCGCTATCTTCAACGACCATGAAAAGCAGCAGTGATTACCATATCACAGATAAGAAATGAGTAACGTTACTTATTTATATTTGTTCACATTTTATCTTTTTCCAGACATTTAACATTTGTGAGTTTACCCCCTGTGAAGGAAGCAAATTAAGTACCATTCTGCCCATCTGGGCCAGAGTAGTGCCATAGCTGGAACATAGGAGCTCTGGTTTCCTTGCCTAGTGCTTTTTAAACACGGGACAGGATCCAGGCCTGAAACTTACACAATTCTGGGGGTCCCCTTAAGAAAAAGAATTCAAAATAATTTTGCTTTTGCAAATATTACAAAAACGTATTGCCATGTCAATACATTACTAGGACCCCTCCCAAGACCCTAAGGAGCCATGCAAGTGCAGGGCCCTGAATGTTAAGGCTCTTTAGTTCCATGATTCGTGCACTTCTCCAGCCAGGTCACAGTGCCCTTCCGAGCCACATCTCCAGTCACTACCTCTAACACAGCCTCTTCTGATTTGATTAAACTCTGGGAAGAATTTTCTGACACCAAACTGAAATCTGCTTCTAAAAGGTTATTATCACACCTAGAAGATTACCATATTAAAAGAAGGAGAGCATGCAAGGCAGGTACCTGGTTCAGTGGAAGGATTCTGGTACATGAACTGAGTGGTCATGCCTTTCTCTGATCCTTTTCCCACTTCCTCACAATGAAACAGTTCAACTTGAAAGTCTCTAAGAGCTCTACTAGTTCTGACATTCTGGTCTTCACATACATTAGATTAAAACCATAAAATTGTGTTTGTAGGTCAAAAGCAGCTGAATATCAGTAGTTTTCATATGGTTCAGCCTAATATGTGCAATGTGACGAGTGAATACCTTACAAGCTACAAATCCCCAGCTGGAACCTCGCACTGTTCTGTTTGATTTCTGTTTAAGGGATGTACAAAGGGTCTCCAGAAAGCCCTATTGAAACATACATATTTGTATATAGCAAAAACCCTGAAAGAATATTTTGATAGTAATTATCTCTGAAAAATAAGGATTGTGATTTTCCCTTTTTTACTTAAAAAATTATGTAATATTTGATTTATCTGACCATAAGTATGCTACTTGTATAATCGGGGGAGGGGGGGAGGGGGAAGCTACTTCCACCTTGAAAAAATAAAAATAAATGCTTGTGTGTTTCTTGAATGGAAGATACAGAACACATTCATTCCCATGAGCAGTCAGTTGTGTTAACTCCCTGCAAATCTGTGCTGAGCCCCATATGTGCTCAAGCCTTTCTTTAGTTTTTCTTTTTTTTTTTTTTTTAATGTTTATTTATTTATTTTGAGAGAGTGAGCATGAGCAGGGGAGGGGCAGAGAGAGGGAGAGAAAATCCCAAGCAGGCTCCATGCTGTCAGTGCAGAGCCCGACGTGGGACTCAGTCCCACACCCTGAGATCACACCTGAGCTGAAATCAAGAGTCAGATGCTTAACTGACTAAGCCACCCAGGCATAGCTTTCCTTAGTTCTTCTTGAAGGAGAAGGTAGAGACCTATTTAAGAAGATTTGACATATGGGAAGAAAACGATTCAGAAGTCTACAGTTGAATGAGACTTTAGAGACCACCCAGTCCAAAGTCCCAAATAGGAAATAGAATCAAGAATAGGAATGAAATGGTCAGGCTAGAAGGGTTTTAAGAAATGAGATTGGGTAGATTTTGAGGAGTCAGACAAAGGTAGAATTTGAACTGGGTTTTGAAAAGATAGGACTGATCTAAGTGGGCACAGCAAAAGAAGAAAACAAACCAAGGGAAGCTTGAGGGTAGAAATGTGGTGAAACCACACGCCTAAAGAGAGTGGTTGGCTGAGAAATTGGGCAGGAAGCAGACCCAGTGTGGCAACTCTGGGACTTCAGTGTCCCTAACCATGGTAGTGGCTCTCCTTCACAGAGTCCTTATGCTTACAGGATTAAATAATAGAATAATATGAATTCTTTTGCTTGCAAGTTGCAGAAACCCAGTGTATATTAGCATTAACAGGAAAGAGGATTTGTTGAAGGGAGCATGGAGCAGTCAGTCACAAGTTCAAAGAAGAGTTACTCCTGAGTAGCACCAGGGCAACTCCTGAGCACCAGGGCAACTCCTGAGCCTAGAACTACTTATTTGCCTGAATTCACAAAGTAAGGGCTCTATATACCTCATTACTACCCTCCCCACCCTCCAGCTCTACCCCACCCCAAATGTTTGTGAGTTAAGTGGCAATACCCTCTCAGCACATAGGATTTTTTATCGGCACCGGTTCTGCCCTCTGCTGTCCAGATCCCAGAACGTCACCTTGAGCCCTCAAAGCAAAACTTCAACAATCCCTCATTCGCCAGACATTTATTGAGGGCCCACTATGTGCCAAGCACTCATCTAGGCACTCTTGGAATACATAAGTAAAAAAGATCAAAGAAACCTCTGCTCTAACACTTAAGAGCATTTATTATATGTCAGGTAGTGGTCTAAGCATTGTATATACATTAACTCATTCAGCTTGTAATAACCCATATAACAACACTTATTAGTAGGTGTTCCTTATAATTACTTCAGTAGAGCCCACTAGTTCTTCATCTAACTGCTGTACCACATTCAATCCAACTTTGGCACCATGGTACATCCAACCCAGGGTGTGGATCTGAATTGTCCCTTGAAATGAATGGGAAAGTGATCTGGGGAAATGGTAGCAGGGCACTGACACTGATAGGTTGAGGTTGGGTTCCCTAGAAACAGACTTTGAGGCAGGCATTTATTGATGGGGCACTTTTCAGGAAAATCCTTCAAGGGAAAGAGGGAAGTAGATAGGAAAGGGAAAGAACCAAAATGTGTTCTCATGTCCCTGGTCTAATCCTCAGGGAACTGTTCTACATGGCAGGGGCACAAACCACACAGCAGAATTACACCCCCTTGAGGCAAGGGGGATGGCTCTTTATGCCCCCATATACTCAGTCACTGGTTGTGGACCACTCTGGTTGGGAGGGGGGACAAGAGGAAGGTTGTAAGGAGGATCTCATCAATGGAGGGCAATTCTCTGGAGACAGGTGATGGCTGCTAGAGGGGGTACTTAATCTCGGAGGGGCACTTGACAAGAGCTTAGTAACATGACCACCACTGGCTCCAAGGCAAGTAGGCAAATGAGGTTCCTGCCTGGGCAGCGATGTCCTAACCAAATCTCTATTACTGTGGAAGGGAAGAATGGATTTTGGTGGACAGCTAGTGGTCTTCACCCTACCCTCCTCACTCTTTCCCCCAGGACTGGCCATGAAAGAAAAATGTACAGCCTTGTCAAGAAGAAAGAAGTGCTGTTACTCTGATTTGGTCATGTTTTTTGGGGGGTGCAGGGGTTGGAACCTTGTGGGTATAACTAAGCCTGTCCTGGCAGTGTGACTTTTACTCATTTTTTCCCCTGGTATTGGTGACCCTTGTCTCATCTCTCTTTGTAATGGCAATATCCAAGATGTTGGTTTAAGCATAAGGGAAATAGACAAAGCAAGGCTTTCAGCCAGCCTTGTGTAGGAAAAAGAATCTTGTTTCAGGTGCCACTAAGAAACCAAGAATATGATCTGCCTAGATGAAATCAGAGGACCCATCTGTGGCAGTGGTTAAACACTGACAGAGAAGGAGCTCCTGGGGAGCAGGAGAGTCAGAAATTAGTGACCAGGAAAAAGTGAAGAAAAACTAGTTTTGATGTGCAGCCAGTCTCTGCTAAGCACTGTGCTGAGAATTTGCATGTTACCTATTTCACCTTCCCAAAATCTCTTAACTTTTTTAAATCCTCATTTAATAGATGAGGAAACAGAAGCTCAGAGGTGAAATAGCTTCTTTAACATTCACTTAATGCGTGAGGCTGTCTAGATTTTAACACTGACTTGCCTGCATTCAAAGCCCATGTTGTCTCTGATGTGGGAAACAATGGCAGAAGAAAAAAAAAATTAAACTTCCTGACAACTTAACAGCCCATTGACAAGTCCTTGGGACAGGCAGAGTGACCTTCCTCTAGGATCTCAGCTGCCTCGATGATGACACTTTGCTAAGGGCAAAGGCAATCTTAACATTATTCCAAGCTCCAGGATCCTGTAAGTCTACTTAAACATATAAAAATTGCTTTGGAGGGGCACCTGGATGGCTCAGTCGGTTAAGCGTCCGGCTTCAGCTCAGGTCATGAACTCATGGTTTTTGAGTTCGAGCCCCTCATCGGACTCTGTGCTGACAGCTCAGAGCCTGGAGCCTGCTTTGGATTCTGTGTCTGCCTCTCTCTCTGCCCCTCCCCCGCTCATGCTCTGTCTCTCTCTCTCTCTCTCTCTCTGTCTCAAAAATAAACATTAAAAAAAATTTTTTAATTAAAAATAAATAAATAAATAAAAATTGCTTTGGAAACTTCCTTTATCTCTACCCCGCAAGATATATGTTGGCAATCATACTCCAAGCTTACAGCCCCCTGATATACATGTGAAGGGTCTCATGACTGAGTTTTTACTAAACAATAGCAAATGATCTCTTCTTAACAGCAGCTAGCCCTTCAAGGTCCTGGAAACCTTGTTTCCAAAATTCCTTAGAGGCTTACTCTATCCCTAAAACCCTCTCCCAACTTGAAAGTATATAATCAGTCACCCATCACAATCCAGTGCAGCTCTTTCTGCCCAGGGATCCCGTCCCCATGCTTTAATAAAACCACCTTTTTGCACCAAAGATGTCTCAAGAATTCTTTCTTGGCCATTGGCTCTAACTCCAACACCTCAAACTACATCATCCCCACCATAGCTGGCTCCTTTGAGAGTCACATATCCTTTCTTGAATGTAAACCCTTCTAATCTCCCAGCAGACTGTGGCCTCTCGGTTCCCCTTCAGGGATCAAGTAGAGCAATCACAATCTCATCCCTGCCCAGCTTCTTCCATCCTCAATCAAGATGCCTCAAAGAGAAGAGAGGACATTGTCATGATTCTATGGGAATAATAAGCCAACTGGGACGGCTCTCGGGTGAGGGTCCCTGAGTCCCTACAACATTGACTCCAAACACTGGGGACAAGGGGAACAGAGACACCAGCCACAGAATCTGCTAGGAGATAATCTCAAGAAAGCATCTAATGTGAATCATTGCTGCATCTCCCATAGTCAGAGACAGGATGGGATTATTTAAGTACATCTGAAAAGAGCTCTGTGGGACAACTGCAGGCTGACAGTTCTGCTTTTGGTTTATTATGTATTCATTCATTCAACAAATATTTGTTAGGTACTTAGCTGTAGGTAAAGTGTTTGGTACTAAGAGAACAGCAACAAATAAGGTAGGCATGGTCCCTGCCTTCATGGGGGCAAAGATTAGCTCACCACTTCAGGTTTTCTACCTATAAAAGCATTCTATTTCTATGAAGTTTTACTTTGAACCCATCTCTGCCCCTCCCTAACATAGACTGAGGCTACTTTCACCCATTTTACTGCCCGGTTTATGATACTCTGATCATTTTTACCACGTTGTACTCTTTTGGCACGTCTTTTTCCCTCCAAGAAACAATGCAAAGGTGCAGACAGGGACCATGTCTAATGTATCTCTATGCCCCATCAACTAGGATAAAGCCTGGCACAAAGTAGATGCTTAATAAATATTAGAATGGATTAACATTATTATGAGTATTGTGCTACATAACCTCTCACATGTATATGTACTACCAATCTTTCAAACTATTTCTCTCTCCATTATCTCATTTGGTTTAGAGAATTTTGTTCAGTGGTTTCAATTGAAAGTGAATATGAGAGCACTTTGTAAAATTTAAATGGTGAAGCAGGGCATCTGGGTGACTCAGTCAGCTGAGTGTCTGACTCTTGATTTGGGCTCAGGGTATGGTCTCACGGTTCGTGGGTTCGAGCCCTGCATCAGGCTCTGACAGTGCAGAGCCTGCTTGGGATTCTCTCTCTGCCCCTCCCCCAAACCCTCTTGCACGAGCACGTGGGCACGCTCTCTCAAAAATAAATAAACATTAAAAAAAAAAATTTAGCGGTGAAGCATTGTTGTTGAGCTCTCTTGCTAGCCCTTAGGCTGGGATAATTTAGGTGACGTACTTAACATCATGTAGCAGGAGTGTATGCTAGAATCTGTCTCCTGATTTTCATTTCTGGACTTTTCCTTCCTGCATCAAGGGGAAACTGACAAAAAGAGAGGAACAAAGTACTCAGGAAGC